GGTGAGCGAGCTCTAAAAACTTTCCACATAGAAGCTTGGAATAACAATTTGAGAGGGAAAAGGATTATAAGTTGGAGAGGTTAAAAACACCTCCTATCTGCAAAAACATTTAAAGATTTTCCCGTTTTATTTTTGTATAAATTAGCAAAAATCCCGCCTTTGCAGGTACACTCATTTACTTCCAAGCTCAATAAATAAATCTGGACTATTATTACGCAATACTGCACCCATAAAATTCCTCTGTTCACCTACCACGTTACCCTTAGTATTGAATCACTGAGACTTTATGTCATATATGTTGAACATTTACAGATTTCCGTCCACTAATAATTCAAAATAAATAAATAAATAAATAAATAAATAAATAAATAAAAAATAGAATAAAATAAAATAAAAAACAACTGATTCTCAACAGTTCAGCAGAAGCTGTGAAGAAAGTAAAGTTTTACGAAACACGAAAACCGAAGAACGTGGCCATAGCATACGGGCGGAAATACACAGCCCAACTTTGCGAATGCCATCGGTACTTTACCGAATATTATGCAAATGTAAGAGAATGTATTCAACAGACAGCGCTGAGTACCACAGTCAAAAATTTTCATCTTCTCCGCCAAAAAAAAAAAAAAACAGAGTGACGTTTACTTTTGAACAAGAGCACAATCGGGCTTGTTGCAACTAACAAGAGCAACTTTAATTGGGGAACTGTTGTCAAATTCTTCAATATTTTCCTACTGGCACCTTATTTCTATATTTGCCTCCTGTAAGCAGTTGTAGTTGCCAACGTCTGTGGCAACCCAATTTAACTGGACAAATTGTTGGATGTAGGAATGTTAGTTCCGCAGTATTACCTTTTATATATAACTCTTTATTGCCCTGAGTACACTGCGACCCGACGAATACCTGAGGTGTTTAAACCTACAATTATAATATAGGCAGACTCTCTTGACACTTTTCAAAAGTCTTGCCTAATATAGTAGTGGAATACAAAGGAGTTATAAACGATGAGGAACAAATTATAAAGAACCAGCTAATCAACAAATTAAATCTAAAAACAATGAACTCACAACAAGAAAACCTACAAAGTGCCAACGCGCACCATTTAGAAGCGCAAAGAAATCAATCTTGGAATTACCCAAAATTGAATTAAATGACTACCCAACCGCCCCAAAACTTAATTCGGTCGAGAAATTTTTATTAATTGAGAGATCCTTCGTTTCAATACCCTTCAAGGTAGTAATGACCAACTGTCTGCCCTCCGAAAGCTTTCTTCCCTTCAGGGACAATTTAGGCCACTGCAATGGTTTGAGAGGTGGCCTTCCGCGTGCTGTCGCAACACGGCTCCCCGAGTGGTTTCATCGAAGACATTACAAACTCGTTCAAATGAGAACGCTTGAGGCAAAAGTGCTTTACTGAGGAGCGATTCTAAGCGTGCTAAAAGTTGCCGCGCCGGAATAGTGCAAACTTTTCCATCTGCAAATTAATCTGGCGATCCATTACAGCGAAATGCGCTCAAGTCAATTAAATTTTGACACCTCGCTATTTTGAGTATCACGTTTCCAGACAGAGTTGGTCATGAAAGGTCGAGACTTTTTTGCAGAGTTCTTTTCCCTTTTACAAGATCCTGCACCCATCACGTTCCTAATCCTTCATCAAAGACAAGGATGTCTTTTATAAACTTAAGGCAATTGGTGGCCCATCCTGGTTCTCTTTCTTAACTTAGACTGGTTTTAGGTGCTCATTGGGCTCCTTCTTAGTTTGGTAGCCCCATTCATCTTACCGGCTATAATGAAAGACAACAACCTTCATTACGATCAATATTCATTCGCTTCCAGGTTCCGCTGATTCTCAGATGCGAAGCTTGAAGCCGGATGAGTTAAGAAATGCACTATAGCGGTACCAGTGCCACTGAAGGCTGCTCAACGTTTCCGAGCTGAAATTAGAGCTGAACGCTACCGGCTTATAGGTTTCTTTAGGACCAAGCATGACTTTTCACTGTTTACAAGTTGTTTCTCCTCCGTTATCATATATTCCTTTAAGCATTCCGAAAAACACATTATTTGCTGTTTCCAGTGTTCGTATAGCACGACATTAGATTTATAAAAGAATAATAAATTTTCGTTGACAGTTGAATGAAAATTAGTAATGTTTTTTTTGTTAGTATCACTTGTCGATGTTTCCAGTCAAGCTGTGATATCAGAATTACAGCAAAATCTCTAATAACAAATTCAGAATTTTTTGGTACAAATTTGGGTAAAAAATGTAAACACAAATAACTCTGTTAACAAAATACGTGAACAAAGCAATTTGGAGGTCAAACGGCAGATGTAACTGTGTACTGGCTAAATTGACTTGAAAGAGAATTTTTTAAGGATGAATATGGAATAGTATTGTTACTGTCGTTTTGCTTAACTATCTGAATCGGTTTTGAACAAACTTATTCTCTGTTAAATACTGAAATTTTCAAATACCTCTTCAATTTCGCTCGACTTGGAGTCTATACAGGTCGGCCGGTTTCAATTCCGCGTTATGAACGTCCTGTCCAGATTGAGTTAAGTTCCTCCTCTTTCTAGGCTTTATCCTCACGTGTCTTACCTCTTTGTGCTTTTCTTTCCGTGGGCTCATATTTTGTGAATACTGGCAGCCTTCTAATTGAATTGATACTTTATAACTCGAAATGCTTCCCTTTCTTAAAATCTAATAAAGCTCTTACGGCATCCGTCTAACCATCTGCATTAAATTAGCAGAGAGTATGAGGCGTAATACAAAGGTAAACCTAGACTGTTCAGGGCTCGATATAAGAGAGCTTTCTAAACTAGAAACTAGTTACGGTATTTTGCTAAAGAGAAACTGGCCGTGGCACGATAGGTTTAATTGAGCCTTGAATCGACTCAAAATGTGTTACCGTAGGGACTATAACTTCCACTGCATAATTTAAACCACGTTACAACAGTTGGCTTCAACAGGTATAAACTGTATTTGTGTAATCGTCCTTTAAAAAGAGGAAACTTGCTTTCATGCTTTGTTGACACCTTTTACCAGTCATATTTTAGTCTGTTCAACAAAGTATTTTGGCGCAGGAAGGCGTTTGAAAACTTTGAAGGTGAATAAAAGAAAGGAAAGACGGTGGCCAGTCCTCAACTCTTTAGATATCAGCAGACCTGGGTTATACAGTTCGTTATAAAAGTGAGTTCTCCCTTCGTTGGTGGTATTGGTTTTGGTTTCTCTGAGCTCAGAACGAACTGCTGCCAGTCATCGATTTCTGTCACCGATGGGAAATGAAAACCTTTGTGAGAGAAAGAAATGGTAAACTTTACAAACTCCTGCAAAACTGCTGACGAAGAGGCGGTTGGATTCAGGTATGCAGGTGTACAGGAACTCCAGAAAAGAAAGTTTTTAAAGATAATAGGTTCTATTTAAAAAAAGCACGCCATGCATTACTGTAAAACCGCTTATGCGACTGTGCGGACACGTTTCACGTGCTAAATTTATCTGTCTCTTCTGAGGTGACTGTGAGTTGAACGAACGAAATAAGCGAAAAACACTTAAAAACTGGACTCATGAGAACTTCAAATGATGTAAAAAAGAAGCAACATAGGAATCTTTCTTGCTTGCAAAATGCTTTAAGATTTTGAGTAGTCATAGAGCGCTGCTAAACTTAAATCTTTTAAACAGTTGGCGTACAGCAACATTATCGGTAGCAATAGCAACGACGCCTACTCAGCCCATTTCAGTAGATCATTGCTCACGGAGACTAATCTCGCGGAACGCAGTTGCACTTTTTTGACAGTATCTAACGCATCCTCTGATCAAGCAGATTTTGGTATTTTCGGGTTTACTAGATACTGAGACATGTGAGAACTCGCATTTTTCTGTGCGTAATATATAAAAAGCGAACATAAACCATTCTATATTTTTGGATCTGCTAAACCTTTGAAATAAATTTATGGAAAACTGATCTACTTTTGAGCGTACCCAACAGAAGTCTCTTTTCTGACGCAGACGCTCCTTCCTGTCAAGGAGCCTCATCAATGAAGTAAACTTGATGCACACTGATTCCCAGTAAAACCTTACCTTGCTTTCCCTTCAAAAATGTGTCACCAAAAAATTGACGCGAAGTGAGGGAAACAAGGCAAATGTTCCAGTCTCCCTTGTAGCAGGAAGAAGCTGCAAAGTAACCTAGAAACAATCCCGGAACACTGTTAGACTCTTTTAGAAAGACAGTTGTAACGTCGTTTAACTTTTCTAACAGACGCGGTCTAGAGCGTTAAAGGCGTGAAGTGGTCCTACAGAACAGAACATTCACTGAAAAACTTTTTATTTTTTTTTTTT